TAGGGTATATTCCCAGTAGTGGAATTGCTGGGTCAAATGGTATCTTTATTTGCAACTTTTTGAGAAAGCGCCACAATGCTTTCCACAGGACCACTGAATTTTTATTGGTTGACATTCAGAAATAGATGGCTTGGCTTTTCGTCCTAGTCTGTTTTAGTCCGGCAGTTCCTCTGAACCCCGTCTACCAAGGTTGACCCTGCTGGTGGTGGAAATACCTGTGGGATCACTTCTAGCTTAATAACAATGCGGCAGCCACCACAGGAAGGGAGGTGCGGATAGGGTCATTTACATTTCTTCATCTGTGTGGTGAAAATACTACATATTTTACATGGGGCCAATCTCTTCTCAATTCCTTGTTGATTTGGGTCAGGTTGGTAGCTTGAAATTGGCCATCATGGGAGTATTGACACCACAGGAATCAGGTGTGTATGCAGGGCACACCATAGAGTGTTCAGGTCATCAGGTCTTTCTTTTGAGGCATCTCTGGTGGATTTGAGTCAGCAAGCTTTTGATGGAACTGTTTCTGCCATGCTGGGACTCAGTCTCTCTCTCTCTCCCTCTCTCCTCCACAATGCTGGTTGTTAAACATCCATCAGAATACACACCACTGTCCTGTCTCCAAACCTGACTGATTCCACCCCTAACTGCAGACCATATGTGCACTGTCCCAAATGAACTAGCTGGATGTTGGCTTCTTACAGACACAGCGTGAAAGAGCCTGGGGTGGACAGAGAAGCTTCTTTGGAGGAGGTGTCCTTGATGGGCTCAAGGAGGAAGGAGGGGGAGTGGGGCCCAGATAAGAGAGCTGAGGTTGCACTGGTTAGGCAGAGAGGAGAGTGGGGTTGACAGTGGAGGTACAGATGTGGGGTGAACAGTATTTGCTTGACTCATCTCTATCTATTCAGAAGAAGCTGTCCCCCAAGTTCCCTCTGAGTGGCCAGAGTTGACACTGAGCCATCACAAATAGTACAGCCTTACCAGTCACTGCTGTTGTTGTGCACTGTCGAGTTGGAACCGACCCATAGCTGACCCTCCAGCAGGGTTTCAGAGGCAGTAAATGGCACAAGAGATTGTCCGTCCTTCTTCTGCAGAGCAGATGGTGGAGTCAAACCACATACCTTTGGAATTGTGTCTTACTACTAGGCCACCAGACTGGTCATTAGACCATCGCAATAACTGTACAACAGCCAATCAAGTTACTGCTGCATTGACGC